GGTTTCACCATGTTGACCAGGATGGTCTCGATCTCTTGACCTCGTGATCCACCCACCTCGGCCTCCCAAAGTGCTGGGATTACAGGCTTGAGCCACCGCGCCCGGCCTGAGATCTGATGGTTTTAAAAACAGGAGTTTCCCTGGACAAGCTCTCTTTTTGCCTGCTGCCATCCATGTAAGATGTGACTTGCTCCTCCTTGCCTTCTGCCATTATTGTGAGGCCTCCCCAGCCACGTGGAACTCTAAGTCCATTAAACCTCATTTTTTTTGGTAAATCGCCCAGTCTCAGGTATGTCTTTATCAGCAAGAAAATGAACGAATACAGTAAATTGGTACCAGTAGCGTACCAGTGGGGTGCTGCTGAAAAGATACCCGAAAATGTGGAAGTGACTTTGGAACTGGATAACGGGCAAGTTTTAAACAGTTTGGAGGGTTCAGAAGAAGACAGGAAAATGTGGGAAAGTTTGGAACTTGCTAGAGACTTGTTGAATGGTTTTGCCCAAAATGCTAACAGCAATGTGGACAATAAAATCCAGGCTGAAGTGGCCTAAGATGGAGATGAGGAACTTGGGAACTGGAGCAAAGGTGACTTTTGCTATGTTTTAGCAAAGAGACTGGTGGCATTTTGCCCCAGCCATAGAGATCTGTGAAACTTTGAGCTTGAGAGAGATGATTTAGGGTATCTGGCAAGAGAAATTTCCAAGCAGCAAAGCATTCAGGATGTGACTTGGGTGCTGTTAAAGGCATTCAGTTTTGTAAGGGAAGCAGAACAAAAAAGTCCAGAAAATTTGCAGCCTGACAACACAATAGAAAACAAAATCCCATTTTCTCAGAAGAAATTCACAATTTGCTGTACAAATCTGCATCAGTAACAAGGAGCCAAATGTTAATCCCCAAAAAAATGGGGAAAATGTCTCCAAGGCATGTGAAAGGTCTTCACGGCAGCCCTTCACAGGGGCTTGGAGGCCTAGGTGGAAAAAATGGTTTCATGAGTCAGGCCAGGTTCCCCATGCTGTGTGCAGCCTAGGGACTTGGTGCCCTGCATCCCAGCTGCTCCAGCCATGGCTTGAAAGGGGCCAATATAGAGCTCGGGCTGTGGCTTCAGAGGGTGCAAGCCTCAAACCTTGGCAGTTTCCACATGGTCTTGAGCCTTCAAGGGCACAGAAGTCAAGAATTGAGGTTTGGGATCTTGCACCTAGATTTCAGAGGATGTATGGAAACACCTGGATGTCCAGGCAGATGTCTGCCGCAGGGGTGGGGCTTCATGGAGAATCTCTGCTAGAGCAGTGTGGAAGGGAAATGTGGAGTTGGAGCCCCAACACTATTGCCTAGTGGAGCTGTGAGAAGAGGGCCACTGTCCTCCAGACCCCAGCATGGTAGATCCACTGACAGCTTGTTGTGTACCTAGAAAAGCCACAGACACTCAACACCAGGCTGTGGAAGCAGCTGAGAGGGAGACTATCCCCTGCAAAGCTACAGGGGTGGAACTGCCCAAGACCATGGTAACCCACCTCTTGCATCAGCATGACCTGGATGTGAGACATGGAGCCAAAGGAGATCATTTTGGAGTTTTAAGATTTGATTGTCCTTGCTGGATTTCAGACTTGCATGGGGCCTGTAACCCCTTTGTTTTGGCCAATTTCTCCCATTTGGAACAGATGTATTTACCCAATGCCTGTACCCGCATTGTACCTAGGAAGTAACTAACTTGCCTTTATTTTACAGGCTCATAGGCAGAAGGGACTTGCCTTGTCTCAGATGAGATATTGGACTGTGGACTTTTGAGTTAATTCTAAAGTGAGTTAAGACTTTAGGGGACTGTTAGGAAGGCATGATTGGTTTTGAAATGTGAGGACATGAGATTTGGCAGGGGCCAGGGATGGAATGATATGGTTTGGCTGTGTCCCCACCAAAATTTCATCTTGAATTCTAACTTCCACAATTCCCAAGTGTCATGGGAGGAACCTGGTGGGAGGTGATTGAATTATGGGGGCAGGTCTTTCCTGTGCTGTTCTTGTGATAGTGAATGAGTCTTATGAGACTTGATGGTTTTAAAAACAGGAGTTTCCCTGAATGAGCTCTCTTTTTGCCTGCTGCCATCCATGTAAGATGTGACTTGCTCCTCCTTGCCTTCCACCATGATTGTGAGGCCTCTCCAGCCACATGGAACTGTAAGTCCATTAAACCTCTTTCTTTTGTAAATTGCCCAGTCTCAGGTATGTCTTTAGCAGCAGCATGAAAACGCACTAATACAACTGTCCAACTTTTCTTAAAATTTATCTGAAAATGCAAAATAAGATACCTTCCTACTGCACTGTGATATACCAGCAGTGGTTCATTTTTAAAGAATGGCAGGATTTTGTTACCAAGGTGAAAGAGGCTGGTAGTGTTTAAATGAGGAACTCAGTGTACAAAGGCCCACATCTCTGGAAAGAGATCAGAAAGAGCTGGTCACTTGGCTGGTTCTCCTTCTGCATGTTTCTCCTAGGCTCTTGGCTTCCCTGTGTCTGTTAATTACAACACATGGTCCTCTCTCAGCATGGCCCACTTGGAAAAGTAGTTCTCAATAGATAAGCTATTGCTTAGGCCATACTGCTCTGTGGGCCATGTGTCCAGCTCAGCGTTCCAACTAGAGCACTGTTGGAACAAAGTCTGTACTTTCTATTACAACTATTCACCACGTTGAACTAGGAATTGCTGAATAAATATACTATTAAAAAATGGGAATTTAAAAAAAACCCAAATCAAATTTCTATCTCCTCAGGAGTCCTGTAGAGGGAGGAAGGCAGATACAGCCAGGGCTGTAAACATACCTGGCTTGACCGTCACGTTCACATAGCCTTCCCCATGGGCATTTTGACCCTCTACAATCACTTTAAATTCATACAGTCCTGGAGTGAGCTGCAGAAGTGAGAGAAGATCTCTTAGACAAACATAAAGTGCAGGAATTACATTTAAAATAATGTATATCTGAACTTTCCCATGCTGAATCTTTCATTCTTTCCTTGCCCTGTTTCCAAAATGGAAAAAGTAAACTAGCCTATAATCCTAGCAGTTTGGGAGGAGGTGGGTGGTTCACTTGAGTTCCTGTGTTCAAGACCAGCCTGGACAACATGTCAAAACCCCATCTCTACCAAAAGTAGGAAAATTAGCCAGGTGTGGTGGCACATGCCTGTAGTCCCAGGTACTCAGTAGGCTGAGGCGAAAGGATGGCTTGAGCCTGGGAGACAGAGGTTACAGTGAGCCTAGATTATGTCACTGTACTCCAGTAAGAAAAAGTAAACTAGCTGAAGGCATAAACAATGAACTAAAAAAAAAAAAGAAAAGCTTTTAATGTGAATCTTATGACCAGCTGACTCTAAGACAACAGAAGGGATTTCAAACATCTCTGTACTCCCATTTTCTTTTTCAGAAGAACATCAAGGGCCCAAATATACCACTTCACAGAGTTACAAAATTAAAATAATCATATCTTCAAAGAAAAACATTTTGTAAAGATACTAAATAGCTCCCAAATATCTGAATATTCCCCCCTCGATTTTTACTAATTTATAAACTTAATATAAAAGAAAAAATAACACAAAAGCGTCCAGCATATCACTATCAAAACACATCAACTCATCAAATTTCTCCATTTCCTTCTAATTCTTTTTTTTTTTTTTTTTTGGGGACGGAGTTTCACTCTTGTTACCCAGGCTGGAGTGCAATGGCGCGATCTCGCTCACCGCAACCTCCGCCTCCTGGGTTCAGGCAATTCTCCTGCCTCAGCCTCCTGAGTAGCTGGGATTACAGGCACGCGCCACCATGCCCAGCTAATTTTTTGTATTTTTAGTAGAGACGGGGTTTCATCGTGTTGACCAGGATGGTCTCAATCTCTTGATCTCGTGATCCACCCGCCTCGGCCTCCCAAAGTGCTGGGATTACAGGCTTGAGCCACCGCGCCCGGCCTCTAATTCTTGATCACATATTAAAATAATAGTTTTGCATGGCTCATTTGTTTAACAAACATTTATTGGAACCAAATGATGTACCAGTCATTGTCCTAGGCTTGGAGTTTGGATATGAATAAGGTAAGATCTCTACCTTCAAGGAGCTCTTATTTCAGTGGTATTCAAAGTCTAGCTAAAATTAAGGTATCAAACTTTCTATTGTTCTTTCTTCCATTCACTTAGCATGAACACCTTCCCTGCTATGATACAATCTTTTTTTTTTTCTTTTCTTTTTTTTTTTTGAGTCAAAGTCTCACCCTGTCGACCAGGCTGGAGAGCAGTGGCGCGATCTTGGCTCACTGCAACTGCTGCCTCCTGGGTTCAAGCAATTCTCATGCCTCAGCCTCCTGTGTAGCTGGGACTACAGGTGCACACCACCATTCCCTGATAATTTTAATATTTTTAGTAGAGACAGGGTTTTGCTATGTTGGTCAGGCTGGTCTTGAACTCCTGACTTCAGGTGATAACACCCGCCTCAGCCTCCCAAAGTGCTTGGATTATAGGGGTGAGCCACCACGCCCAGCCATAATCTTTTAAATATATTTATTTTAATGACCACAGAGCAGTACACAAATGTGTCAAATTTCATATAAGCATTTCACATTGTTGGATACTTGGGTTGTTTCCAAATTTTTACTATTATGACTAATGCTGTAATGAACATCTTCCAGGAAATTGTTTTTTCTTTCTTTCTTTTCAAGTATTTTCTTTGTGTAAATACTAATTGAGCCACAGGTAGCATCTTTGGCTACTTCCTCTTTATAACACTCTCTTGGCTTCTCCTTCTGTGCCCATACTTCATTTCCTTTAGTTTCCTGTAGCTTCTGTCCCTTAAATGATGGATGTTTCCAGGATTCCAACCTCAGCCTGCTTATTTCTTCACTCTGCACACTCTCCCTGGTTGACTTTATTGCTGTGGCTTCAGTAATCATCTATTTGAGGTTGATATGCAAATTTATCTCTCTAGTCCAGACTTGTCTTTGACCTCCAGCCCCTTTCTCCCAGCTACTATCTGGACAGCTCAATTCAAATGTCTCACAGGTACCTCAAACTCACTTTGTCCAAAAATGAATTAATCATCTATAAACTTCTCCCTAAAACTTGCTCCTCCTTCCCCTCATTTAAATGAACATCCACCAAGGTACCTATGCCAAAAAGCTAGAATTATCCTGGACTTCTTTTCCCCAACATCCCCAACCAGTTCATCAATCATCAAATTTTATCAAGTCAAACTCCATATTATTTTTCCAATCTACTCACTTGTTTCCCACCCACACTGCCATCACCTTAGTTCTTAACCGCTTGTCATAGCACAATTATTCAAGACAAGGCCTTTAGAGATGGAAAGCTCCAGTTCAGACCTGCCATTTAATATCTTTGTGAACTTTGGCCAAATGATTTCTCCAGTTTTTAGTTTTGTCATATGTAAAAAAGATAGTAATATCTACATCTTGGCATTATTATGATGATTAAAAGAAATAAGTATATAAAATAATCAGCACTGGGTATGGCACATGGTACAAACTCAATAGGTGGTTTTTATTTTTATTTTTTGAGACATAATCTCACTCTGTTGCCCAGGCTGGAGTGCAGTGGTATGATCATGGCTCACTGCAACCTCCACCTCCTGGGCTCAAGTGATCCTCCCACTTCAGCCTCCTGAGTAGCTGGGACCACAGGCACGTGCCACCACACCTGACTAATTTTTACATTTTTTGTGGAGATAGGGTTTCACCATGTTGTCCAAGCTGGTGGTTTTTAATTTTACTTATTTAGTTCTTTTACTCAGGCTATTATCATTTTTCACCTATATTTTTCAACAGATTCCTCACTGATCTCCATAGTTTGAATCTTACCTCCTCCAATCTGTAGTCAGGTGATTCTTCTAATATGAAGATCTAAACATGTGTTTCTCTTGCTTAAAACTTTTCAAAGGCTCCATATTCCTTCTGGATAGGATTCAAAGTCCTTAATCTGGCATATAAGGGTTTTGCTCCATCTGGCCCTACATCTTTCCAACTTAGTCAGAATCACATTTAAATTCCCCTTTGCCCACATTTTCTCTCTCATTTTTGGCCCAGTGGACATGTTGCTTCTTCTGCTTGGGGTATTATCCCTTTACCCTTTACCCAGTATGTCAGTTGCTTTCATGACCCCATTAGGTAAACTCTAAAGTTAGGTAAGACACTCTAACTTTCCAGGGCTTCAATGACCCCCTGCACTGACTTAGTATGCCACCTGTTATCATTACCTGCTTCCTATCAGTATCACCTACTAGACTCTATTGTTCTTGAACATTAAATGCCTGCCACATAACCAGTGTATTATGAATAGATGTAGAATGAATGACTAAATGAGACTGGTGGGCCAAAGAATACAAACTTTTTTATTAGAGAAAGGATCTTACTTTGTAACTTGGGTTTTGGTGCAGTGGTAAGATCATAACTCACTGTAGCCTTAAACTCCTAGGTTTAAGTGATCCTCCCAACTCAGCCTCCTGACCAGCTGGAATAACAGGTATGAACCACCACACCCAGCTAATATTTTATTTTTAGTAGAGACAGGGTTTCACCATGTTGGCCAGGTTGGTCTCAAACTCCTAACCTCAGGTGATCCACCAACCTTAGCCTCCCAAAGTGTGTGGATTATAAGTGTGAGCTGCCAGGCCCGGCCAAATACAAACATTTTATAGCTGTCAACAACTATACTTAGGCTGAGCATGGTGGCTTATGCCTGTAATCTCAGCAAAAAATACAAAAATTAGCCAGGTATAAAGGCATGACCCTGTAGTCCCAGCTACTCAAGAGGCCAAGCTGGGAGGATTGCTTGAGCCCAGGAAGTCAAGACTGCAGTCAGCCGTGATCACACCACTGCACTTCAGCCTAGGCAACAAAAGCAAGACCCTGTCCTCCCAAAAAAACCCGAAAAACCTATATTGAATCCCACAAAGGCTGAGTCAATGTATACAGTCATGTGGCCACAAATAACCTAGCTTATCTCCCAAATTCTAAAATCCTTAAGTTAGCCTTAAAAGCTGTTTATTGTATATGTTCAGCCACCACTACCATGCTGGTACAGTCTTCTTACCACAAATGAAACTTTGAGAATCATACACTAACAAATACTGCATGTCAGCCAGTCAGAATTTTGGAGGATTCATTTCTAAAAGACTGTTTAAACTTAAGTGTACACAGAAAATTATATGGTATTCATTTTAGAAAAGAGTCAACTCCTCTACCTTAGCCCTGCAAGTAAAAGGAGACAAATTCACCTTCGATAGTTTGAGGATCTGAGAGTATTTCCCTTCCATTTCTCCACTGTAGTCTTTAGGATGAGTAATCAGCTGCCAGTCGTAGGTGTAGGTTTCTCCTATAGAAGGGCAGTTACAAAAATCATGAAAACACACACCTACACACAAAGAGGACAGCCACATAGCCTGCCAATAACAAATCTCTTCTGATCTTGACAAGGCTTTAGTTTTTAAGATTTCACCCCAAAGCCTGTAGGGAAATCAAGCCATCTGCTCAAAGAAAGCGAATTTTGCTGAGTCAGCTACAGTTAGAGCTTCTTCCAACTCTCTCCCAACAATGCTTATTTGCCCCATACCCTCCCTCTCAGGGTCAATCCTCCCTAAAAAATACCAGGTTGCTCATGGTGTGGCATACCACTGAAAATACATGCCCTACCAACCATTATAGATGAACTCATTAGGAACAAAGGCCATTTTCCTGCAAAACTTCTTTTGCAACAAAGAACAGCAATGACTTCTAAATAACATGGTTCAAAAATAGCTTTTTACAGAGTGCTAACAATGCTCCTCTCACTGAGGTCATCACACCCTGGTGAGTTAAAAGAGCTACTTCATTCCTGCTGAGCTAAATAACACACTGCAGAAGATGGTAGGGGATGGCCCATTTAAAACAGGCTCACTGAAATTAATTAAAATCAAATGAAGCATTAAATGGTCCTCATTTGCAGGTCAGACTATATCACTAGGTAGGGCAAGGGTAGAATCCTATCTAAATGGTATCCCTCCCCAGAAAAAGTAGTCTTAAATTTTTTTGGATCAAAATGCATTTCTGGCTAGGGAAGGTGTGAGACATGGTAAAAGCCCCACAAAACTGCATACCTCAACCATACCTCGCCTTTCTGTTGAAACTGCTCTCTGTAACCCTGATGTGACAGGTCAAGTAGTACAAACCCATGCCATCTTGGCCCCCTGCAACTTGTAATAAGTAACTAAGGTCTGTAATTTCCACCCTACCCAAGCAATGTGTAAACTAATGCTTATCTTGACTTCTGTGAACCACTTAAGTAACAATCGGAATGTCCAAAGTCCCCTGGCCCTCGGAATGTCCGAAGCCCCTCACGCTCATCCCCACTCAGGAGGTGGCTTACATGCATAAAAGGTCCTCACACCCTCTTTTTGGGGCCGGGTTGGAGAGACAGTAGTCCTCCGTGGTCGCTGGCAATAAACGACCCTCTGAATTGGCTTACTTTTGTCTCAGTGATGATTCTGTACTCGCTCAGTTATAACAAAGGGAGGGCTTTGGTAGGAAGGTTTAGTTTAAGTTACTAACTGAAAGTAAAAAAGAAAAAGGAGGAAAGAAAAAACCTTAAATGCTTAACAGAGAGTGGTCTTTTTCTTATTTCATGAGTTCAAATGTTAAAATCAGTACACAGAACCTAATTCCAAGATATCCTTCATCTGAAGACCAATATTATTTTATAAGCCTGGGAGGCAAGATCTTCCTTTCTTCCTCCTCCAAAACAAGTATTTTTTTGGCCAGTCGTCAGTGCCAACAGCTCTCACAAATGTATATATTATGTAGTAGTTAGGTTACAAGAGGAGAGGGAAAGAAGCAGTACAAGTAGTACTTATGCTCAGAGACATTTCTTCCAACTGTAGTTGGGAATTCTTTTCCACATAGAAAACAGTTTGGGAACAGATAATTTTATAATAGCTAAGGCTAGCAACATAAATTTCAAAACAGGACAATATTCCCAGGACAGAAAAGCTCAGGAGATAAACTATGCCTTGCAGGCAGAAATGTGCTCAAAGGCAGGAACAACTAAGTTAAGTCTGTTAGAAAGAGTGCTGGTTATAGTGATTGAGGACAGTGGTTCATTTGTTTGTTTGACTGACTTACTGATTGAGGGGAATTTTGCTGTTGCCCAGGCTGGAGTGTAGTGGCGCAATCTCAGCTCACTGCAACATCTGCCTTTAGAGTTCAAGTGATTCTCCTGCCTCAGCTTCCCCAATGACTAGGATTACAGGCACGCACCACCATGCTCAGCTAATTTTTGTATTTTTAGTAGAGACAGAGTTTCACTATGTTGGCCAGGCTGGTCTCGAACTCCTGACCTCAAGTGATCCGCCTGCCTCAGCCTCCCAAAGTGCTGGGATTACAGGCGTGAGCCACCACGCCCAGCTGGAGAGTGGTTTTGAAACTGGACCTGGAGGGATCCTAATGGGTTGCCACAGGGCAGGAGATGGATAAAGAGCATGCAGAATTGGTCCTGCCTCATCACCCCAACGTCTGAAAGTTTGAAACCATCCATCTCACATATCCATTAAAGGCAGGAGAAACTGGGGAGAGGACAAGGGAAAAGAATCTATTTCCCTTTTTTTTCAAGATGGAGTCTCAATCTGTCACCCAGGCTGGAGTGCAGTGGCATGATCTTGGCTCACTGCAACCTTTGCCTCCCATGTTCAAGCGATTCACGTGCCTCCCACCACCACGCCTGGCTAATTTTTGTTTTTTTACTAGAGATGGGGTTTGACCACGTTGGCCAGGCTTGTCTTGAACTCCTGACCTCAGGTGATCCACCCACCTCAGGTGATCCACCTCCCAAAGTGCTGGGATTACAGGCATGAACCACCATGCCGGCCCTTTTTTTTTTTTTTTTTTTTTTGAAACAGAGTCTTGCTTTGTCGTCCCAGCTGAAGTGCAGTGGTGTGATACTGGCTCACTGCAACCTCCACCTCCTGGGTTCAAGCGATTCTCCTGTCTCAGCCTCTCAAGTAACTGGGTTTACAGGCACCTGTCACCACACCCAGCTAGTTTTTTTGTATTTTTGGTAGAGATGGGGTTTTGCCATGTTGGCCAGGCTGGTCTCGAACTCCTGACCTCAGGTGATCCACCCACCTTAGCCTCCCAAAGTGCTGGGATTACAGGTATGAGCCACTGCTCCCAGCCAAAGAATCTATTTCTAAACTAAATGTGTTTTGGAACACTGATCTACAAGATGATACCCACAGAAATGTATATGCAAATATGGGTTGGGAAAGAAAACACAGTAGAACCATGCATGTCTTTCACAAAAGAGCAGAAGTAGTCAACAGCTCAAGGCAGTTCCTTACCTCCAACTTCAAAAGCCACTAAACCCATTCTCCTTAACTTATCACCAGAGGAAGAAAGGAAAAAGCTTTTCTAGAGGGATGTGAAATAAATTGATAAGGAAACCACAGCAGAAATATAGAACAGACAGGGCATTTTGCTTCTGGAAAAGTACTCTTTGCATAAATATACTATTTGGTATTAGGCATAGAAATTAAGAATACTGTATTGGAGATGTGTATACCTAAAATGGAAGGACCCCATCCTAAATAGGGAAGGACATACTTGACTAACCTTTTAATGAGAATAACATAAACCCAACTCATTCAATTTCCATCCAAGTATGTATCACTCATGTCATAAATAGTCTTAAGAGAACCCCTATGTGTTTGTAAGTCCAATTTTGGTATGTTAACATATACTTCAAAAGTGAAAGGAATGTTCATAGTAGAAAAGTTTTCTTAAATAATGAATTAATCACCCCTACTTTATATATTTTATAAACCTGAATTTTGTATATCACATTGGGCTTATCTTTTTTTTTTTTCCCAGGGACAGGGTCTCACTATGGGTAACAATGGTCCTTACAACGGTCCTATGAGGATAGGATATAGCCTGGGGAATGCACAAATATTTACGGAATATGAGAGGTACTATATAATGTAGGGTTTGAGATCACAGGCTTTGATGTCAAGCTTGGATTCAAATCCCAGCTCAGCCAGTCATTATCTGTGTGAATCTAAGTAAATAACTTATCTTCTCTTAATTTCCATTTCTTTCTCAGTAAAATGGGGGTAATAATTCCTACCTCATAACATTACTTTCAGGGCAAAATGAGATAGTAGATAAGTTACCAGTTTAGTGCCTAGCATACAGCTGATGCTAATTAATACAGAACATATTTATTAGGTTGTATTAAATCCATTTTAAGGGAAAGAAACTGGGACTCAAATTAATCCGTTTATTTTGGCCAAACAACCAGTAAATAGCAGATGTAGAACTTGGAGAGAAGTTATTCAAGATGACTGCTAATATAAATTTGTAACTTAAAAAAAAAGTATTTTCCTGACAGAAAGTTGGAGGGGGAAAATAGATAAGGGCTAGCAGTGGTAGCATATGCCTGTGGTTCCAGCTACTAGGAAGGCTAAGGTGGGAGGATCTCCTGAGCCCAAGAGTTTGAGACCAGGAGCTGGACAACACAGCAAGACTCCATCTCTTTTAAAAACAAAAACAGTTATCCAAATGTAAGGGGATGTTTACCTTTAAGTGGTTCTTGTAGAACATATGCATTTAACTGAACTTCATTCTTAGGTAGGGTTATCTGGACACTCTCTCCAGCAGATACCACCAGTTCCTTTATAACTGGAAACAAAGTAAATATACCAGAGGTAAGAAACAGATCCAAACTGTCTTATTTCTCTCCTTCTTTTGTGATCAAACTCCTTTCATGATCAATATTTAGCTACTGCCATCAATTACTAACCTTTTTTCTACTCTGTAATCGCTTGAAATTTGATTCTGTCCCCACTTTTCCATTCAAAAGGATCTTTTAAGGCCATCAATAAATTCCTTCTTAGTAAATCTCAAAGCTATGTCTCAACCCTCATTATTCATCTCACATCTCAGTGGCTTCTACTACTGCCAACTGCCTCCATCTTAAAACTCTTGGTTATTATGACACCATATTACTCTACTTTTCCTCCTTTTTCTCCTTTTCTCCATTGTATTTTTACTACAATCTGTCCCTAAGACCTCCTTATATAATACATTTCACAGAGTTCAAATTCTCTTTCAAGTATCACCTTTATGCTAACAAATAACTTTCTAATAAGATACATATATAAAGTTTCCAGAAGGGAAGGCAAATGGTCACAAATTTGCCTTACTTTCTTTCCATTCCAATTGCTACAACAAGATTCATTGTTCACATAAGACTATTCCAATAATTTTTTTTTTCTTTTTGAGTCAGGGTCTCACTCTGTTGCTCAGGATAGAATGAGTGCAGTGGTGTAATCATAGCTCACTGCAACCTCAAATTCCTGGGCTCAAGTGATCTTCCCACCTCATCCTCCCAAGTAGCTGGGACTACAGGCATGCACCACCACGCCCAGCTTACTTATTCCAAGAATCTTATTTTATCTTCCCTCTGCTAGTTCTCTCCATTCCAATCTATTCTGTCTTCCTAAAACAACTAACACCATTAATCTTTCCAAAATACTCACCCACCATGTTACTCTTCTATTTAAGACTCCTGCTCTCATATCAAATTTAAATCCACACTTCCAACCTCCCATATCAAATTTAAATCCAAACTTCCATCTGATCATCTGATCTCACTGTCCTCACTGTCTTATCCTTCCTATCTAATTTTGCCTCTAGTTATAATGATTTTGCCTTTTGTGTTCCACAAAGCCATGGTCTACTCTCAGGGACTTTGGTAAAGCTATTTCTTTCAATTGGGGTGTTTGCCTTGCTTTATTCTAAATACAGCATTATGTTTCTAGCTTAAAGTCTGTCTCCTCTCCAAGAAATCTTCCCAGACCATTTCAGTTCAAACTGATCTAATCTTGAAGTATGCTAGCATTTTTGGAACACTCAAGTCAGCAAAGAGCTATATATTGTCTTTATACTATTCACCAGCTATTTCACATATGTCAGAGTTTCTCAGGCTCAGCACGCCTGATATTTTGGACCAGGTAATTCTTTGTCAGGGAGGGAAATGTCCTGAGCACTGTAAGGTGTTTAACAGTATCACTGGCCTATACCCACTAGATATCAGTAGCAACACTCCCTCTCCCCAACCAAAAACGTTTGCAGACCATTGAAAGCCACTGATTATATAAATCTTATCTCTCTGACAATAAATGTTCATTTGTTATGAGACCTCGGAACTAGGAGAGCTTAAAGCAAACAACAGGCTAGTCCACTCATATTTCAAGCCTGGGAGGCGAGAAGGGCTTCCTAGACAAGTATGAAACTTGAGATTTATCTGCCTCTGCATGGGAACATTGCACTTGGGGAGAAATGAAACCATCCTTAATGGAAGCTTCAGCATTTGGATGCCCCAGGAGATGGAATAAGAACTCTCTGAAGTGACTTTCAAAAAAAAAGAAAACAAAGAAACATGATGCTCAAACTAAAATGAACCCAAAAAATGACTATTCAATACAGTTCAACCCAAATCTTACACATTTATACCAAAAATTACAGGCATTTTGCCTGGATACAAAAATTACTTTGGTGCCTCAGGATTGAAACCCTAAAATTTCATGTTCTATTACTACCAAAGTACACCCTGGGAAATTAAAAATTGGCAAAAATTTTTTCACTGACTTTGCTTTTAACCTCCTGATTCTTTTCCAGGGGATAAAGACCAACTTAGTTTCTTGATTAACCAACTCTTCCTAATACCTTAGGACAGCACCCATGAAGCACAGATTTGTTGAGGCAACACTATGTATACATCTACTTCCTATGAGTGGCTTTAAAAATAAAGATGCTTCTCCAGGATACTGGTCTAGGCAAAAAAATTTCTTGAGTAATACCCCACAAGGACAGGCAACCAAAGCGAAAATGAACAAACAGGATCACATCAAGTTAAAAAGCTTCTGCACAGCAAAGGAAATAATCAACAAAGTGAAGAGACAACCCACAGAATGGGAGAAAATATCTGCAAACTCCCCATTTGACAAGGGATTAATAACCAGACTATATAAGGAGCTCAAACTCCACAGGAAAAAAATTTAATAATCCAATTTAAAAATGGGCAAAAAATTTGAACAGAGAGTTCTCAAAAGAAGACATACAAATGGCAAACAGGCATATCAAAAGGTTATCAACATCATTGATCATCAGAGAGATGCAAATCAAGCCTACAATGAGACATCATTTCACCCCAGTTAAAATGGCTTATATACAAAGAAAGGCAATAATAAATGCTGGTGAGGATGTGGTGAAAAGAGAACCCTCGTTCACTACTGGTGGGAATGTAAATTAGTACAACCACTATGGAGAATGGTTGGGAGTTTCCTCAAAAAAATAAAAATAGAACTACCATACGATTCAGTAATCCCATTGCTGGGTCTATGCCCCCCCAAAAAAGGAAATCAGTATATTGAAGAAGTATCTGTACTCCCATGTTTGAAGCACTGTTCTCAAAAGCCAAAATTTGGAAGCAACCTAAGTGTCCATCAACAGATGAATGAATAAAGAAAATGTGGTGCTTATATACAATGGAGTACTACTCAGCCATAAAAAAGAGGGAAATCTTGTCATTTGCAACAACATGGATGGAAGTGGAGGTCATTATGTTAAGTGAATAAGCCAGGCATAGACAAACACTGCATGTTCTCACTTATTTGTAGAATCTAAAAATCAAAACAACTGAACACATGGAGATAGAGAGTAATGGTTAGATAGAAGGATGGTTACCAGAGGCTGGGAAGGGTAGTGTGGGGGTAAGGGGAAGAAGGCATGGTTAATGAGTACAAAAAAAAAAGCTAGAAAGAACAAATAAGACCTAATATTTGATAACCCAACAGGGTGACTATAGTCAATAATATTTTAATTGCACATTTTAAAATAACTAAAAGAGTATAACTGGATTGTTTGTGACACAAAGGATCTAGGCTTGAGGGGATGGATACTCCATTTTACATGATGTAATTACTACACATTGCATGCCTGCATCAAAACTTCTCATGTATCACATAAATGTATACAACTACTACATATCTACAAAAATTAAAAGTTTTTAAATAAAATTAAAAATGCTATAAAAATGAGAGACCTATAACCAGCCTTTCAGAAGGTAAACAAGTACACTGATCTCTTTCTTCCCTGTAGGCTCTGACTGATCACTTGAACATTATACTTAGTTGAATGATGTGCCTTTAAGTCACAGTGGAATCTGGACTTGTGAAAATTAGCCTCATAAACTTCCATAGGCTGGAGGCCTACTGAGGAAAGGCTCTAGAGCCCCCAGTCCATGACTGCAGTGGCACGGACAGTTATTTTTTCTCTAACATAAAGTATTCATGTTAGAGAATATGCCTCCTTTCCTTATTTCCTCTAAAAGGGAATACTTTGATCAAATGTTCTACTTTCCCCTTCTATCTCCAAGAGCAAAGGTCCTTACCTGGGTATGGTGCTGAGGTGCTCTGGAAAGAGGCCTGGGGGGTAGGGGTAGCATAACTGTAGGAGGGAGCCACTGGCTGAGGGATAGCAATCTGAATTTTCTCAGAAATTTTTACTTGCTGAGTGCTGGGCATAGAAGGAAGACCCTCTGATATTTCAGGTTGCACTGATATGTTCTTTGGCCCACCAGACAGCTCTGCAGTCAGGTCTGTGGTTAAGAGACTGGAAACTGTAACCGCCTTGTAGACCTAAGGAAATAAAAAAACTAATTTGAGTAGGTAAAAGTTATACAATTTTTCAGGTTATGTCTCATGAAATAATAGTATATTAAATGTTTTCTTGAAAAACACAAAAATATCAAAAATATTAAAGAAACTAATCTCACTACTCAAATAAAAATGGTATTAAATGTTGAGATAAATATTCTGAGTTTTTTCCTATACAACAAGTTTTATTTAAAATAAAATAGTAATTTGCTGCATTCTAAGTGTGCTGGAAAAGCAAAACAATGTATACTTTTACTCTGTTAATATTTCTATTCAATCTTTCTACAAATATTTATTGAGTACCTTTTATGAAACAGGCCTTGTGGATCCAAATTATAAATAAAACTAATCATGTGCTCAACAATAGGGGAGAGAGAACTGAAAGCATAAAAAACTAAAATAGTAAATATACCAGTCAGGCATGGTGGCTCACACGTGTATTCCCAACACTTTGGGAGGCCAAGGCGAGAGACCTCTTGAACCCAGGAGTTCAAGACCAGCCTGGGCAATATGGCAAGACCCCATCTCTACAAAACATAAAAAATTAGCTGGGCATGGTGGCCATGCCTGTGGTCCCAGCTACTTGGGAGGCTGAGGTGGGAGAATCACTTGAGCCTGGGAGGTCAAGGCTGCAGTGAACCATGATCCTGCCATTGTACTCTAGCTTAGGTGACAGAACGAGACCTTGTCTCAAAAAGCAAATATACCTATAAATGTTACGAAAAGCCAAAAAAACACAAGCTGAAGTTACTTAATCCATCTCCCTTTGAGAGGGGATATGAAAAACAATGATTTTTAAAAAAAAATTAAATAAAAAGGCTTCCTGAAAGAGAGGAGCCCTAAGCTGAGTTTTAGAGGATAAAAGGTTGTTTACTAGACAAAAGGCAGACGGCAGACATTAAGTGTAGGCACAAAAATGAAATCAACATGGTCTCTATTGGGAACTGTCAGCCATAAGCAAAGTGAGAGGCAAACGTAATGGAAGATGAGCTGGAAAGACGGAGGGAAAGACCAGACAGAAAAAAGCATTAGATGTTATTTTAAGAAACTAAGTAATGGTGAGCAATTTAAGAGTTATATGCAAGTAAGTAACAAGGTCAGGTTTCTGTCTTACAAGTCATTTCTTAGGATATGAGTTTGAAAAAGTAAGGCAATAGCGGGAAGACTACTCAGAGGAGTACTGGTTTCATCCAAATGAGAAATAATGAGTGGCTAAACGAGGGTGGTAGTATGCATTTTTAAAAAGTCAAATTTGGTAGGCGTGGTGTGTCACACCTGTAATCCCAGCACTTTGGGAGGCTGAGGTGGGTGGATCACTGGAGGTCAGGAGTTTGAGACCAGCCTGATCAACATGGTGAAAACCCCATCTCTACTAAAAATACAAAGCTTAGCTGGGCATGGTGGCACACACCTGTAATCCCAGGTACTCAGGAGGCTGAGGCACGAGAATTGCTTGAATGTGGAAGGCGGGGGCTGCAGTGAGCCAAGATCGCACCACTGTATTCCAGCCTGAGTTACAGAGTAAGACTCACTCTCTCTCAAAAAAAATCAAATTGGTTGAAAAATAATTCACATAAAACAAACTACACACATTTCAAGCATATAAAGTCAATAATTTTGACAAATACATACACTCATGTAACCACAATTAGGACAGAAAACATTTATATCAGCCCCCAAAATTCATTCATGGCCCTTTATAATAAATCCCTCTCTCTACCTCTAGGCTCAGGCAACCACTGATTTGTTTGCTGTCAAAGTAAGATTAGTTTGGGTTTTCTTGTATTTCATATAAAAGGAAGCATATACATACTATTTTTGTTTCTGGCTACTTTCACTCAACATGTTTTTGAAACTCATTCGTGATATTGTGCATATCAGTAGTACATTCTCTCTTATTTTATTACTCTTTTATTTCTCTCTTCCATTATAGACACACAAAAATTTGTTTTACATTTATGTACTGATGGTGATTTAAGTTGTTTTCAGTTCTTAGTAAAAAAATTGCTACGCATGTTTAAGTATACATGTTTCTGTAAACATGTGTTTTAATTTATCTTAGGTAAATACTTAGGAGAATTGCTGGTTATACATAAATATATGTTTAACTTTGTAAGAAACTATGAACTATTACCAAAGTGGCTATACATTTTGCATTTCTACCAACAACATATGAGGGTTCCAGTTGCTCTACAACTTCACCAACACTTGATATTCCTGGTCTTTTTATTTTTTGTCGTTCTAGTGGTTATGAAATGATATATCACTGATGACTTTCCTGATGACTAATAATACTGAACATATTTTCATGTGCTTATTGACCATTTTTTCTTTGAAGAGGTAAAGTTTATCCAAATCTCTGCCTCCTCTTTTTACAGCTTCATTAAGGTATAATTGACATGCAATAAATTGAACATAATGTAAGATGTACACTTGTGGGCGACGGGGAGCCCACCGGGGAGTCTCAGCCAGTGAGAGGGTCCCAGCCTGAAAGAGGGGGTACGCAGAAGTAAAGAGAGACAGAAAGCTGGGGTCTGGAGGACTGAATAGGCAATGCCTATGCAGCAAGTTTGTGTCCAGGGTTCCAATATATACCTTTAGATTATAAGGATTGACGTCAGTACACATTATGTAAGCTATACAATAAGGGGAACAGAAAGTTGCAAAAAGCAAATGTCAGCAGAGGGGGTACATAATCACGGGTCATAAAAGATAAGCAGGTGATATACTTTATCATTGTTAACAGAACATGTGGTCACAAGGATAACAATCTAGAAATGTCACAGGCTATGCCATAAATCTTTATCTGAGTATAGGAATGTCATCTGGTCCTCAAAAGGCTATACTTAACTTGGTAAACAGAGTCATAAAACCCACTCCTCAACAGGAACCGAAAGAGCACACACATCCATTACCCGGGGTCACTGTAGTCAGAAATAGAGGCTGACATTATTCTTATTCTTTCCGTTCCTACTTCCCCATAGCTCGACTGCCTCCAGCAGGAAACTGTGTCCGGGATCAAGCTCACGCACAGTGAGGCCCAACACTGGGGGGGCTTCACACGGGAGCATTCCCCACATACACTGATAAATTTTGATGTACACACACTTGAAATCATCAGTACAGTCAAGTTAATGCATAGCCATCACTTCCAAAGATTCCTCATGCTCCTTTGTAATGCCTTCTCCTCCCTACCCTAAGCAACCATTCTCTGCTTTTTGCTAGTATAGTTTGCATTTCCTAGAATGTTCTATAAATTGAATTACAAAGTAAGTAATCTTTTTTTTGAGGGAGGCAGTCATTATTTCACTCAGCAAAATTATTTTGTTATTCACCTGTGTTTTGTGTATCAATAATTCATTCCTTATTATTGCTAAGTAATTTTCTGCTTTATAAATATAGTATAATTTGTTTATTCATTCACATATAGATGAACATTTGGGTTGATTCTAGTTTTTGGCTATTACAAATCAAGCTGCTAAAACCACTCCTCTGCAAGTCTTTATATGGACACGTTCTTTCATTTCTCCTAGGTAAATACTTATAAACAGAACCCCCAATCAATGTACCTTTATCTTTTTCAAGAAACTGCCAAACCATTTTCCAAAGTTGTTATGACATAATAGAGTACCACCACCAGTGTATTTCAGTTATCTTACAACCTTGACATAATTTGGTGTAGAAATCTTTTTAATTTTAGCCACTTTAAAGGTATGTAGTGGCATCTCACTGTGGTTGAAATTTACATTTTTCTAGTGATTAGTGACATTAAATATCTTTTTGTGTATTTATTGGACACTTCTACAACCTCTTTGGTAGACTACCTGTTCAAATCTTTTGCCTGCTTTTTAAAATGGGTTAGTAGTTTTCTAATCAAGTTACAAGAGCTCATTTATTTCTATAAACGAGTCCTTTACCAGACACACAATTTGCAAATGTTTTCCCAGTCTGTAGCTTGCTTTTTCATTTTATTAGTATTAGCTTTTGATTAACAAAAACTCATAATTTTGATGAGCTCCAATTTATCATTTGTTTCTTCTACAGTTCATGCTTTCAGTGACATGGCTAAGAAATCTTTGCCAAACCAAGATCATGAAAATGTTCTCCTGTGTTTTCTTCCGTAAGATAGCTTTTGTTCTTAAATTTAGATCTATGATCCATTTTGAGTTGATTTTCCTGTACTGTGAGAGGTAAGGATCAAAGTTCACATTTTTACATAACATTATCAAATTGTTCTAGCACCATTTGTTGAAAAGATTATCCCTTCCCCACTGAACTACACTGGCGTATCAATTGACCGTATATGTATGGGTTTATTTCTAGATTCTATATTATGTTCCATTAACTTAGTCTAGCTTTATACCAACACCACTGCCTTGATTACTGTAGCTATAAAGTCTTCAAGTTAGATAGTTTAAGTCCTCCAACTCTGTGTTCTTTTTCAAAATAATTTTGATCATTCTAGATCCCAATTCGTATAACATGGTTATACTCGTTTCCTAGAGCTGCCGTAACAAATTACTATAAACTTGGTAGCTTAAAACAATAGAAGTTCATTCTCTCACAGTTCTGGAGCCCAGAAGTCTGAAATTAAGGTGTTGGCAGGGGCATACTCCCTCTGAAGGACCGAGGAGAATCTTCCTTTGCCTCTTCTAGCTCCCAGAGGCTCTTAGCATTCCTTGACTTGCGGCAACATAACTCTGCTCTTCATGTGGCCATCCTTCTGTAGACAGGTCCAAATCTCCCTTTCCTTTCTCTTGTATAAAGATATCAGTCATTGTATTAAGGGCCCACCCTAAATACAGGATGACTTCATCTGGAGATTCTTAACTAATTACATCTGCCAAGACCCTATTCCCAAATAAGGTCACATGCTGAGGTTCCAGATGGGCATGAATGGGGGAGGGGAGGACATCAGTCAACCCATTACAGTGGTATTTCTCTTCATTTACTTATTTCTCAGATTCCTCTCAGCAGAGTTT